GACAGTGGGCCCAACCGTTTTTCCTTTTTATCCTTGTCCCTGATATGTAAGTCCCACAAGCTGACTCAGCTAGAGTGCTAGACAACGTGGACAAAGATGACACGTGGGACAAAACCACTTCCGAAACCACCAGGGTAGTAGATTTGCAACAATTTTGAGAGTTATATATATATATATATATATATGGGGTTTTGCGGTTGAGTGTTGCAAATCAAAGGACATGAGTTGAGGGAGGCAAACAGACTTATTCACTTTTAAAAGCAACCGGGACGGCCCAGTAGCCTATGGACGGCCGCGGCCCAAGTGACGCCTCCTAAACCCTAATCCTATGGACGGCCAAGATGTCCCGAGCCCCTCAAGCTCGCGCCATCCGACGAGCTGGAAGCATTCACGTCGTCCCGACTCTTCCTCTATAAAATCACCACCTCGCCTCGCGTCACCACCTCTCGCCGCCGCCACCGCCTCCCCCTCCACCCCCCGCCTCGCCGTCTCCCGTTCGGAACACCAAGCTCCAGCGCCCCCCCTCCGGCGAAATGGTACGTTCTCGCCGCCGCTGCCGCCGCGTCTTTTGTGTGCCAGTGCTATCGCAGCTGCTCCAGCGGTTTCCTTTCTGCGAAGAAACCGGATCTTTTGGTGATACTTTTTTCTGTGGTGTCCTTCGTGTGGTTTCCTTGGATCTTGTGAACGCTGTCTTGGATTCTCGCAGCGGCTGCTAGCTTATCTCGAGACCTCGCTTGGAGGTTGCAACTTTACATATGAATCATGTATATGCGCTGATGCGTCTGGATCGTAAATCTCGCAGGCCCCGAAGCGAGGCGGCAGGGCGCCGGTGCCGGCGAAGAAGAAGACGGTACCCGCAATCATCTATCTCTTGCTCCGTTGTCGCGCTTGAAATCTTTGTTGTTGCGGGGGGGGGGGGGGCGTGGTTTGATTTGGGATGTTGATGGGTGCAGGAGAAGGTGACGAACCCGCTGTTCGAGAAGAGGCCGAAGCAGTTCGGAATCGGCGGCGCGCTGCCGCCCAAGAAGGACCTTCACCGGTTCGTCAAGTGGCCCAAGGTGGTGCGCATCCAGCGCCAGCGCCGCATCCTCAAGCAGCGCCTCAAGGTGCCCCCGGCGCTCAACCAGTTCACTCGCACCCTCGACAAGAACCTCGGTATGTAATTCGCCTTGATTCGTTCATCGTCCCATCAGTCAGATTTGTCGGGTTTGGCATTGCACCTGGAACGCTACTTGGTTCACTGAGATGGTTAGGAAAATCCACCTGTATATATGTTCATTGCGAACCTTGAATTGTGGTGGTTTGTATATAGTGCCCAAGTAATGTAATGTTCTTGATTATGGCTTACTACTAGCTTAGTAGTACATTTCTGGTTAGCAGGGTAGATTTCTTTCAGTTGAACGAAGCTTTTCATCACTAGTGTTTGTTGTTTGCTAGTGTCTAGGAAATTTGTCCGTGAATGAAAAATAAGAACAGGAAATGCTGAGGTATTACTACTAAAGTCTTCTTTAGTATTAGTATAGTTTGGTCATCTGTCCACTGTACGTAGCATACGTTGACACCATTGTTAGTAGGATGTCGGTTGCTAATGTGGCTGGTGTGTTCTTAGTATTATTGTGTTCATAGTACCACTTCAAAACAAAGTAACAGGACTTACATGCAGTTCAACTTGAATTGCTCTGTACGCGGCATTTGTTATATTTTACAATTCATGGTGTCAAAAATATCTTATGTGCATAGTTGTTTGCAGCAACTAATCTGTTTAAGATGCTCCTCAAGTACCGCCCTGAGGACAAGGCTGCTAAGAAGGAGAGGCTTTTGAAGAGGGCCCAGGCTGAGGCTGAAGGTAAAACCGTTGAGGCAAAGAAACCAATTGTTGTGAAGTATGGTCTTAACCATGTCACATACCTCATTGAGCAGGTACAGAACCTAAGTGACCTATGCATATCTTTGTTAGTTACCAATCAAGGCGTATCTTTATGGGAACAAACAATCAAACAAAATTGTTGAGATAAGTGAATGGTTTTCTTGCAGAGCAAGGCCCAACTGGTCGTCATTGCTCATGATGTCGATCCGATTGAGCTGGTTGTGTGGCTTCCAGCCCTGTGCAGGAAGATGGAGGTCCCTTACTGCATTGTGAAAGGAAAAGCCCGTCTTGGATCAGTATATTTCCTCCTGAACCTTGTTTGTACTTGTTGAAGGTATAGGTGCTAGTATAAAGAGTCTCATTCTTCACAAATAATCACTTGTAGATTGTTCACAAGAAAACTGCATCTGTCCTCTGCTTGACCACTGTCAAGAACGAGGACAAGCTTGAGTTCAGCAAGATCCTGGAGGCTATCAAGGTGAGAAACCACGAGATCCCTCGTGCATTTAATCATCATATCATACTATCCAGTGCTGCTGCCACCCTTTAGCACCTCATTCGCTAACGCTGCAAACCATCTTGCTCTAGGCGAACTTCAACGACAAATTCGATGAGGTTAGGAAGAAGTGGGGAGGCGGCGTCATGGGATCCAAGTCGCAGGCGAAGACCAAGGCCAGGGAAAAGCTGCTCGCCAAGGAGGCTGCCCAGCGGATGACCTAAATTATAGCTCCTGTAGTTTCATTTTTCAGTCAGATTTTGACGAGGAACTCGAATTAGCACTGTACAACCGTGCTGTGGTTTTCTGAGTCTTGGTTTCATATCTTCTCTGTTCACCGGACCATGTTGGGATACTATGCAATTAGTACAACCGTGCTTCAAAAACCTTTTTGTTTCGTTCCTGTTTTAGCGGAGTGACTAAGAAATAGCTTAAATAGTTGTTCATTCCTGTTTTAGCGAAGTGACTACGGAATAGCTTAAATTGTTGTTCAGAGCTAAAAAGAACTTTGGCTGTGTTTAGATCCAAAGTTTGGATCCAAACTTCAGTTCTTTTTCATCACATCAACCTGTCATACGCACAACTTTTTAGTTACATTATCTCCAATTTCAACTAAAATCTAAACTTTGGATCCAACTAAACACAGCCTTTATATGGAAACGCTAAAATTACACACGAATTAGCAAACTTATATCACAAGTAAAAAATCGTCCTAGCCAATCGTCTGCCCTGCCTTTCTCATGGGGATTAATTGAACCCGGCCAAATTGGGTTTGGCTGGCACTTGGAACTTGTTCTCCAGCTCAAGCCAAATACGTCCATCACGTCCCAATTGGGTTTGGGACACGAACAAGCCTAACACAACATGTGAACTGCAATTATCTATTTTTCCTAACAATTATACTCATTTTTCTAGGTGGCATCTAGTTACAAACATTGATTTCACAGGAGCGAAGCTGGGAGGAAAAAGTCCACTTTGACTCCATTTAAAGTACACCGAATTTAATTCGTATCCCTTAACTGAAAAACAGATAAGACGACTCCCCGAACTATTGAAACCCTCGGTGGTTTTAGAGGATGGTTTTCCTGACGTGGCGGTATTGACCTGGTATTTGTTCCAGGTGGCACTCATGTGGCGTTAGAATTAAAAAATATATGTGGGACCCGCTTGTCATTCAAACAAAAAAATATGGGACCCACTGACATGTGGAGCCCACATGTCATCCTTTCTACCTCCGACCCTTCTTCCTCTTCCCTCTCTCTCCCTTATCTCTCTCTTTTCTTTTCCACTTCGGCCATGGCAGCGGCGGCACGGCCTCCGCGAGCGGTGTGGCCATCGGCGACGACGACGGCATGTCACGGCACACTGGGCAGGTGGCGCTAACCCGCAGCCACCGCTCTGTGCACTCCGCGTTGAACCGGTGTCTGCACCTGGGCCCGCACCGAAGCGCGTAGCCGACTCGCTAGCCGTGAACTCTCTCTCCCTCCGTTCAAGTAGCTGCCGAGGAGGTGAGGACGACCGACCGTCAATGAAGAGCGAAAGCAGCCGCTCCAGGGCCTCCGGCCTCCTCAACCGCCACCATCTGTCTCTTAGTCCCCCAATGAGACTGCCGCTGCCACTGCCGCCAACAGGGAGTCGACCGGGCAACCGACTGCGGGGGCGAGAGAGCTCCTAACCTACCCATTCCGCAGCCACCAGGAAAAGTGGACGTCGCCGCCCGAGACAAGACTGAGGCGGAGCGTGCCCCCAACTTCGACGCCGACTAGGACGGGCTTGACCCTGGCACCGCCAAGCAAGAGAGAGGGAAGAGATGGAGACGGAGTCGCTACTATCCCTCGTCAGCAACATCAACGAGCGGCGACAACAGGAGAGGAGGGGAAGAGATGGGATTGCCGTCGTTGTTGCATCGGCCGCCTCGGGCGACGCCGCGTGCAGGTGTGGACCGGCGGTGGTGGACCGGAATGGACGATGGTGGTGACCGACGGTGCAGACCAACCGTCATCCCCAGCGATCCTGCCTGCCCCCTTCCCCTCCCCCCAAATCCTTGGCCTCCTCCTGTAGCCGCACCCATCGCCCACCGCCGCCATGCTGAATGAGAGAGAGAGAGATAAGGGAGAGAAAGAGGGAGGACACGTGGGTCCCACATATATTTTTTGATTCTAACGCCACATAAGCGCCACGTGGAACGAAGACCGGGTCAATACCGCCACGTCAACAAAACCACCCTCCAAAACCGCTGAGGGAGTCAAATTGCACTAAGGGAGAGAGAGTGAGGAAGAAGGGTCGGAGGGAGAAAGGATGACAAGTGTGCCCCACATTTTTTTTGTTTGAATGACAAGTGGGTCCCACATATATTTTTAATTCTAACGTCACATAAGCGCCACGTGGAACAAAGACCGGGTCAATACCGCCACATCAACAAAACCACCCTCCAAAACAGCTGAGGGAGTCAAATTGCACTGGTTTCAATAGTTCGAGAGAGTCGTCTAATCTGATTTTCTAGTTAAGGGGTACGAATTAGATTCAACGTACCTTTTAAGGGAGTCAAAGTGGACTTTTTCCAAGCTGGAAAAACGCTTTGACAGTATGTGTTGACACATTGGACAAAAATTGCACAAGGGATGGCAAATAGTTCACTGGCAGCATACAACGGAAGATGTAGTTATATCTAATTTCAAGATTAGCATTTCTCGGGGGATTGCTTCATGAACATACATATACTTCATTCAGCATTACATAGTGAAGTTAAATGAAATTGGCAAAAGCAATTTTACTACTTCTGTCACAATATATAGAAACCTAGCAACAGATGGGAGGTAGTAGTAGTAATTGACTAATGACCTGCTACTTAAACCTCGCATATCCTGACTTCCTGAGTACAAATAAATCCTTTTATCTCACAGCAGGACCAACTTTGCTAGGCGGCAGCCTCCGAACGAGGTGATGTCGAGAAGCCTGACAAAAAGCATTAAAAAGTTCCCCTTTTATCAGGCACAGGCTGCATCTACTGTTAAAATCTCCAGTGCAGGTGCATTTTCCACCACATGGAGAAGGAATTCAAGCGGGCCTGCTGTGCCCTCGTATCCTGTAACTGACACGCACTCTTAAGATGGTTGTATCCGCAGAAGGCATTTTACAGCAGGATCCGCATTATCCCCAAATGCTGCACCACCAAACTACGAGCTAAAAGAAAAAGAATAATAAGGCAGTTAGTACAGGAGCAACATGTGTTCAATGCTTCATGCATGTCAAAATGAACAATAAACAGCATGTGTTCATAACTGACAACTCACTTATGGAACAATTCCAACAAAACAGTAGATTCTGTGTTGATTAATAAATTATGGTCTTTTAACAGTGTATATCTGACAAAGAACAATCACAGTCACTAGTTCATTAGTCACACCTTCGTGTGACCGTAGCCCCTACGCTATTTCTAGGTCTTTTAATTTAGTTGAGGTATGATCAGCTTTTTGTTAGTGAAAATAATAGCCTAGTACTTGCAATTACAAATAATCTACGGGAAGGTGAGATGAAAACAAGGAAAATTCAGAAGACTTTGAGGAAAACACACAGATTTCCATTAAACTATGGGGGAATTGAGAAAATCTAACAAACACTAGGATACCTGAGGGAATCCCACCTAAAGATTGGGCAAGAGAGCAGTTTTCTCATTTATCCAATGATGGCAGTAGTTAGAGCCAAATGCATGGTATGCTTGTTTGATCAACAAGCATATCAGTTTAATTTGTTCATAAATCAAATAGTCGAGTCAAAAGAAAATTGGAGTGATTAAATATAGTCACACATTGAAACCTTGGTTTGTATGCCTGTCGTCTAGCTTAGCTATCTCTATTCTAGGTGGCCTGAAGAATGGAGTGCAGGACGGTAATTAAATTTGTTTGGTGCTCCATGGTGCCCGGGCACCATGGTTGAAATTGAGTATATACCCAATTCAAATGAGTATGAAACTTTTTCAAATATTTAGGTATTAACATTAACTACTTTACTAACTAGTTCAAAGCAAGTTTGAACTGAATTTGAACTTGTTTTTGTTAGATTTTGATTCTAGGTATATAGCATCCAAATATATAATTAGTTAGTTATGTAATCATGGATTGTGAAATAAAGTTAAATTTGAGTTATTTGTTGATAGGTATAGGTATGAATCGAATTCTTATAACTAGGTATATACTCACAATTTGAAAATTTTGAAAAATTTAAGTGATTTTGTGCATTTGATACCATGGTGCCCCATATGAGTGTCCTATATATATATATATATATATATATATATATATATATATATATATATATATATATATATATATATATATATATATATATATATATATATATATATTGTAAGAAAAAGTAGTGGTCAAAGTTATTTTTTGGAGACCGTGCCCATGTCCTTGTCCAAAACAACAACTATTTTTAACCTAGAGGGGCATAGGAGAATGGGAAACCGTTGCAAACAAACCAATGAAAAGAGGAGGGCAGATAGTCGATTCGAGGACCTTCTAGAGGTGTGGCAAAGTTTCTTCCTTTCGTTAGTATTTATTATAGTATGATTTTATTAAAGTACATTTTAAGATCAATCTATACTATGGTCTCCATGTTTTTAAGGAAAATATTTTAGAATTTATACATGGTCAAAGTTTTTAAAGTTTGACATTAGTCTTGCCCAAAACAACAATTATTTTCAACATGGAGGATAGGGGTGGGCATAAAATCACTGAAAACAAAAGGCTGAACCGAATCATAGTGTCCTTTTTTGGGTATTCAATTATCCCTTTGGTTTTATTTCTACGGTGCTTCGATCTTCGACTTTTCTCTCGGTTTCTCATCTCTGGAAAACCGAAGAACCCACACAACCGATCAATCTCTACGACCCCATCCTCCTGCATGAAAACCACATCGTGGAGGCCCTCCGACTGGTGGAAAAGCCCATTAATACCATCAGTTCTTACCAACCCCTATTGCCGTTACCAACCCCTATCACTGTTAACAACCCCTATCGCCGTAGCCTATCAAACCCATCTGACCACCACCGCAGCCCAATATATTGCCATGCTGCTCGCAGGACTCCAGCCCTCGGCATCGTAGCACATACAGGTGGGTTTTCTCGGTTACTCGGTGAAACCGACGAACTGAACAGACTCCCATTTTCCCCAATTTCTTTTTCCTTCCATTTTCTTCTTCTCTCCTAGGGTTAAGGACACTTTTGCCCCTGCTGACCAAATAGATCAATCTAATCAATCGATCAAAGCAAGTCCCTGGTGGCTCGTCTCATTCGCTCGATGCCGACGCACTCCATCGCCTCATTGCCACTACTACCGCATCGGTAGGCCCAGCACCCCTGTCCCCATGCCTCACCATCGCCACGTAGGGGTGGTAATGGGTCAAGGCCCATGGGCTCTTTCACAACCCTAGCCCTCAAATATTTTTAAGCCAAAAATGTATAAAAATTGAGCCCAGCCCCTTTTTAAACCCAGCCCTCCAATTTTCGAGTGTAAAATGTTGGGCCCATTACCACTCAGGCCGCCACAACCATGGCCATACCCTGCCACTGCACAGCACCACCACCACCACCACCACCACCACCACCACCACCGTGGGTCGCCACTACCGCCCCGATGGCAGGCCCCACGGCACAGCAGAAGCAGGCAAAGCGTTAGCATGAAGAGAACAAATTATTTGATGGAGTTGGCAAAGCAGCAGCAGTAGCAGTAGCAGGAATTACTTGATGGAAATTACAAGCAGCAGTAGCAGGAATTATTTGATGTCGTGCAAAATGGACATATCAGACTATGAGAGATCAATTGATGTGGAAGATTTCATTTTGGTTCGTTTGCCATGTAATGTAAATACTATGTAATGTAAAGAAGATGATTTTGGTGTCTTTCGTCTCTGTTTTTCACTGCTTTGTGCCATACCTGTGCAGGATTGATCAAGGACTTGGAGCTTACAGAACTTTTAGCATCATGTACAAGTAAAAAGCTTCAGCAGCATACTGATCACACACAAAAAATTTCCAGCAGCATGCTGATCAAGCACAATAAAAATTGTCTTCTCCAGCAGCCTTGGTCAACGCCAATTGCCTTGAATAAATTGAGTGTTAGTTAAAACATAAGGCAGGATCAACAATACCATTCAAATAGAAAGATCTTACCTTTCAGAGACAGGTCCAGGACTAGCATTGCTGGAATCATTTCTTGAAACTTTTTGTCTTTTGGGTGTGCTAGCACCCGCTGCACAACTAGTTGAACCTAGTGGTCTCCCTTGTTTGTCACTATTCTTCCTGAAAATGTAAAACAAGTAAATATATTTTCAAAAGGAAATGGACAATAAATATGCTAGAACAAGTAAATGTGTGATCTTACATTATTTTCTGGGAATTTAAAGGACATTTTGGAGATGTTGCCCTATGGCCCATGCCAAGACAGCTCTTGCACTGAACCTGCCACTTGCCTTTGGTCCTAAGCTTGCCTTGTTCTTTATCAAGACACCCAACTATCATGTTCTTCCTTTGCTTCTCTACGTCTTTCTTAGTCAGAGGTGGCAACAAATTGAAACCAAGATTGACTTTTGGCCATTGGGACTTATCTGAAAGTGGATGAATAACACCTGCATATGCAAGCTTATACTTTTGCACTGAATAGCAAGGATCCAAATAATCAGCCATTCTGGGGTTTCTAGTTGATATTATGAGAGCTAATGCATGTGGGCATGGTTTGCCAGAAACTTGCCACTCTCTACAGGTGCATGTATGTTTTGCAAGATTGACCCTATGCCTAATAATCTCATGTTCAGGAGTGATCTCAGCCACCTCTGCTTGGTCTCTATCACCTTGAACCACCCTCAAGTGGCCCAAGGATCTAGTCATTGCATTGAGTTGACGAACTATAATAGGGAGCATCTCACCATCTAGCTTCTCACCTATCTTCTTTCTCCTCGCCAATAGATCCATTATTTTTGACCTGATAGCATCTGCAAGCTCAGCAACTGGAAGATCCTTCATATCCTTAATCCATTTGTTCCATAAATCTGCCAGATTATTGCTAATGAAGTCACATTTTATCTCTTCTGAGAACTTGCTCCTCATCCAAAGCAGTTTGTGATAGGTTTCCAAGTATGGTTTCACATCTGAATTAGTCTCATGGATTATATTCATGTAGTGCTCAAACCTATCTTGCATGTAAGATCTAGCTGCAGGGTACATGTTCCCATACATCGGACCTGGGAACTTCTCTACGAAATTCTGCATCAAGTGACAAAAGCATTCTCTATGCTCTGCCCAAGGAAAAACACTTTTCACAGCATTCTCTAGCCCCTTACAAGCTTCTGAGCTTATTGCTAAGTGTGATGGTTTGCCTATTGCCTTGTGAAGCTGTTGCATAAACCAAGTCCAATTGTCAGTGGTCTCACTCTGAAAGAATCCAAATGCAACTGGAAACATCCAGTTGTGCCCATCTATGGATGTAACAAAAGGTAGATGACCATTCCATTTCCCATTAAAGGCTGTGGAGTCTATACTCAAGTATGGTCGGCATCCATTCATGAAACCATCAATGCAAGGTTTGAATGCACAAAAGAATCTACAAAAATAAATCCCATCATCATCCTCCTGTACATCTATCTCCACCACACTTCCAGGCATTTTCAGCTCAACCTCAGCCTTGAAGTTAAACAAATAGCTCTCTTCCCATGACCCAAATATCTGCTCCACAGCCTTCTGCCTACCTTGCCACACTTTTGAGTATCCTACTGTGACATTGTATTTGGTCTCTAACTCCTCTTTTAGCTTCTTTGCACCCATATTTGGATCCTTCTTTAGAAAAGGAATTGCCTTCTCTGCAACCCACTTATATGATACCATCTTTGTCTTAACTCCCTCAATAGATGTACAAGCATGTGCAAATCTGTTCAAAGTAACCTACAACACATAAATCCATTAGTTAGTAACATAAGACAGTTCTTACTAACAAACATAAATTTGAAATATGAGACAATTCTTAGCTAGTTGTTAGTACCTTCACAGATTTTCCATCAGGCATCAACCTTGCCACAATAGCCCATGGACATCCCTCAGCTTTGCAATAGCCCCTGAACCTTTCTGGATCAGACTTCTCTGTCCCAAGCTCAAATTGCCCCTTTATAGCGTGTTGCCTCACAGCTGATCTAAACTCAACCATACTTCCATATGAGCTTCCAACTATCATTGGAGGGTCATCCCTATCATAGAAAATTTCAGCTTCAAACCTAGCATCTATCTCTGCCTCATCAAGGTTCAAGTCCCGCTGTGCAAGACGTGGAGCTGGACCAGGAGCAGAATCCCTCTGCTTTTCAGCTTCAAGCCTAGCTTGATCCGCTCTCTCATCCTCAGTTCTGAGTCCAAGAAAATCATACATTTCATCTTCCTCCATTACAGGTAGTGAAGAACCAATTTGCTCCTCTGGAATTGGAGCTATCTCCAATCCATCCCAATCAATGACATGCTGAGGAACTTGCTCTTGTGGAATTGACATTTCATCTTCCTTCATCATGGGCACTGAAGAACCTATTTGCTCCTCTAGAATTGGAGATATCTTGAAACTATCCCAATCAATGAGATGTTGATTGCTTGAGTCTAGAGCATCACCTTGCTTGGCTGTCACAACCTCACCCATGACTAACTCATTTACCTCTGAAATAGAAGAGCTAGTAACTAATTGACCAGATTTATCCTCCACATCCACAAATAAAATCAGCCTCCTCTCCCTCTTCCAATCAAATAATGCATGCGCTAGATCCATATTATCCAAAAACTTTGTTTCCTTGCCAGTTCTCTTGTCATATCCATACACCACAACCTGTTGGCACCTACCCCATTTTACCCTGGCTGCAAAATCCTTTTCCAAGCTCTCTAATGTGCATTGTCGATAGTCTACAACCCATTCAGCGTATTTGCTTGGCACATGAACACTACTACCATCATCAAGCTTAGCTGTGTACTGACCAAACCGAACACACACAATAAACGCCGCATCAGGATCGATCCTATCATATAGGAAAAACAAAAATGAGAGGAAGACCATTAGTTTGCTTGCTAAATCGCTTCTGACCTAGTTTCTTGCTCCTCCTGTTGAACAATAATGGAGATGAGGATTTTTTTATGGCCTTACCCGGAAGGGAGCTCACTGGGAACTATGAAGTACGCCAACGCCTGCAAAGTGCCCTCCTTTGGAGCCACCATTGCCACCTCTCCCCCTCTCACCCTACAAACCAATTAGGAGTGGCATATAATGAAATCTCTCTTCCTACGCTGAAGGAAGGTAATAGTAATCAAGTCCATATTAGAAGAAGTACGATAGGCAAAAGTTATGTAATGGGCACATGTAATTAGTTAAAAATTACTATTAATTAGCGAATGCGATCAAGAAATAACCAATGCCTTTGGAGTACCTATCCAAGCCCCACCCCTACCCCTAAGGTTCCCTGGCCGGTTCCAGCGAGCGTTTTCAAAGTTTTGTTCCGTTTGTGGGAGATGCAGCTGAGTGAAGAGGCAGCGACGGCTAGCTAATTACTAATTGAATTTCATGAGGTGGAATTTACTTAGGCGAAACCGAATTTGATGTGACAATCCCATCTAGCCATCCAGGGGTGGGGTGGGGTGGGCATTAGGTCTACGGTTTTCTCAGTTTTTGTGAAACTTGGAATTCTAAGAAAAACCAACACAATTTAGCTAGCGAGAAGAACAAAGGAACTGAGCCGAACCTGCTTCTTCACAACCATACGACGACCCGACGCCGGCGGTGGGCAACCTCGTCGGGCGCGCCTTCGACTCCCACCGCTGCTCCGCCGCCGGTCGACCTCAAGCGCCGCCCTGCTCCGCCCCTGACCAGCCAGCCACCAGCGCTGCTCCGCCGACGACCAGCCTCCACCGCCGATACCTCCCGCCCGCGCACCTCTCTCACCGTCGCGCGAGGCGAGGCGAGGCGAGGCGAGCGAATCGCGTGCGGGCTAGCTGACGCTCGGGGTAGCCGGGTGGGGGGAATAATGGATTTTAGGGTTAGGGATTTGTGTTGTGGACTTGTGGGAAGGAAAAGATTTGGGTATTGGGTTTTGGGCCATGGATTCTATGATGGGTCGATGATTTTGTTCGGTGGAATAAGTCCATTTTCACTCCCGTGACCCGAATCTAATCCACACCCTAAACGGCAAAACCGGATATCTCAACCCCCGAACTATTGAAACTGGTGCAATTTGACTCCCTTGGTGGTTTTGGAGGGTGGTTTCGCTGGTGTGGCGCTGTTGACCTAGTCCGTGGGGTTGACATGGTGCTTAGGTGGCATTTGAATTAAAAACGTATGCGTGGGACCCGTTTGTCATTCACACACATAAAAAATTGTGGGGCCCACTGACATGTGGGCCTCACATGTCATCCTATCTCTCTTTCTTCTTCCTCCCTTCTCTCTTTCTTTCTCTTTCTCTTTTCTCCCCTTCGGCCGGCCACGGAGAGCACGGGTTGGAGCAGCGGCCAGCGGGAGCTGGAGCGGCAGCGGAAGCTGAAGTGGCGGCGGCGGTGGGCTGGACCATTCGGCTGCCGCATGCCCCCTCCATCTCCTCCTTCTTGTCATCCTCCTCCTCATATTTGTCATCGTCACCGCTGTCGCCGCCGACTTCCCCGACCACGCCGAGGTCGGCGTTGAAGGCGATGTTGTCCGGGAGCACCGCCGGCCCAAGGAGGATCTCCAACTGCGCCGCCGCCGCTGTTGACACTGACAACGCCGTTGTCGGAGGTTGCAAAGCCTCCACAAAACCCCGTCGCCGCCTCAAGCCCCTACGTGTTGTCCTCGCGCCCGCCGCTGCCTCATGCCTCGGCTGCGCTACTCCACCGCCGGTTGTCGCTCACCAAGCTTAAGTCTCGCTTAGTCGAGCCCACCGCCCCGCCCTCCGCCACCGCGGCTTCCTCCCCTTCGTCGCACGCCTCTCCCGCACACCCCACCGCCACAGGAGGCCACTTCCACGCCGCACACTCTAGCACATGCTCGCCAACCCTCCCGCAAGCCGTCGCCTCTCCGGTTCCCGCCCACTGTCGCTGCCCTTACCCGTCGATTGCTCTACGAGAGAGAAGGTGAAGAGAAAAGGGGGAGAGAAAGAGAGAGAAGGGAGAGAGAGAGGGAGGAGGAGGAAGAAGAGAAAGGATGACATATGGCCCCACATGTCAGTGGGGCCCACAATATTTTTTGTGTAAATCACAGATGGGTCCCATAGAATTTTTTTTAAAAAATCTAATGCCACGTAAGTGCCACGTAGGACGAATACTATATCAACATTGTCACGTCAGCGCCATATTAGCAAAACCGCCCTCCAAAACCGCTAAGGGAGTCAAATTGCACTGGTTTCAATAGTTCGATGAGTCGTCCTATCCGGTTTTGTGGTTGAGTGTTATGGATTAGATTCGCGTCACTTCTAAGGGAGTCAAAGTGGACTTATTCCTTGTTCGTTTGTCAAAAAAGAAGTCTATTTTCATTCCCTCAAGTTTCGGCCGAATCTGATTGGCATCCCTCCACAAAACCGGCTATATCACCACTATTTGGCTAATGTGGCGCATGTTGATCCGATGATCGTTCTATATGGCGGTATATGATCGCTATCTTTATCTCTACTAGTAAAAATGCCAGTGCGTTACACCAGTCAGGTTAAAGCAATTTTAATTGTGCATATGCTTTGACAGACAAATTGTCAAACACGACGATTCCTCGACCACAACAGTGGAGCCAAATGAGAAATTAAGAAAAAAATGTGTATACGCTCCAGCTGATAAATAGTCAAACTCGACAATTCCTCAACCACAACGGTGGAGGAAAGCCAAAGGAGAAATTAAGAAATTGTGAATACATATAGAATTGTCTTAATTTTATATGTACTCACAATTTTTTTTATGATGGGTCAATGATTTTGTTCGGTTGTCAAAAGGAAGTCTATTTCAGGCCCTCAATTTTCGGCCGAATCTGATTGGCATCCCTCTGCAAAACCGGCTATATCGCTACTATTTGGCTGTTGTGGCACATGTTGATCCGATGGCTTGGCAGTAGTAGGATGGTGGGAGCCAACAAGGCGAGGGAGCTGGGAGGTGGTAGAACCAGTTGGGCGCGGGGCTGCAGCAAGACGAGGGAGATGGGTGGTGCCGGCTTATCCACCCCTGGGAACTTGAAGAGGGCAAGCAGAGGTGGTGACCTCCAGATCTCGTTCCCTTTGGCCGCTTCTTGCAGCTCGGTGGGGTTTATCGACCACCTCCTTCTTTCTTCTGCCACGTAGATCGGTGCAGGGAAGGTCGCGCTAGGCAGAGGAGCACCACCGTCCCTCAGTCCTTTCCCCTTCCCCTCTCTTTCTCTCCTCTCTTTGTCTCGAGCTAGCTCATTGGTTGTCGGGAGGATCAGAGGAAGATGGACATTGACAAGTAGCGAGATGGCCATGCTGCTATGGGTGGGCGACGTGTGCTTCGGTGGTGGACTCGCTCGTCGTGGGCGAGCACCTAGAGGACCATCCTGCTACCACCCGCTGTCGCCCGGTATCCCGCCGGCAAGAGGAAATATGGGGAGAAAGACATGGCAAGGGAAGGAGAAGAAAGAGAAAGATGACTAACAAGTAGGCCTCACGTGTCATGTGAGCGAAAACCGCTCTCAAAACCACTGAGTGAATCAAATTACTCCGGTTTTGTGGTTGAGAAATAGGAATCAGATTAGACCTAGTCGGACGGAGGGTGGCAGGGAGGCATGGCAACGTGGGTCGGCTCAAGTTCAGGTGACAGCCCATGTCCAAAGAAACCGACCAAGCCCAGCCCAGCCCAGAAAGAAACACGGCGCTCAAATCCTCCAGCCCTATCCCCGGATCCTTCCCCGCACGCACGCCGCCAGTCGCATCGCATCGACCCCATCGCTCGCTCCCCTCCGCGCCGGCGGCGCCGCCCGCTCCCCGTGTTCCCTCGCGTGCTCCCCTCACACCCGCGCCGCCATCCCTCCCTCCCTCCCTCCCATCGCCGCCGCTCCTCCGTCGCCCGCCGTGGGGAGAAAAGTCGGGGGCGGGGCGGGGCGAGGAAGTCGGGGATCCGAGGCGGGGAGTGTTACCACCACCGCTACATCCGGACCAGCGCCCGAGCAGCCGCAGTCCGCAGACGCCACCAGGCAAACCCCAATCCCCATCATCCCCAACCCCTCCGCCGCCGCCGCAACCGAAGCACCCCGGCGGCCTCGATCTCCTCGGAAGCTTCCAACCGAGCCTAGATGAATCCGGGCTAGCACTTCTCGGCTCTCGGTAAGCCCTAAGCTGTTAACGATTTCGCTTTTTCCTGATTTGCGCCCTGAGCCCGTGACCGACCGATCGATCGATCGAATCCTTTTTGTCTGTAGTGTACTCCATTCGCTATCCAAATCCAGTGCTGAGTTTGTTGCTGTTACTGATTTTTTAGGCCGGAGATTCTTGCGCTGGCAATCTAGCGAAATTTCACTAGGGTTCATTGGACGCTGCAGGTGCGCAGGGGCCAGGGCCATCAGTTGCTTGATTTGTTGTGTTATTAAGAGACCAGAAGTGGTGGTGATACCAGCGTGGCTTTCGGGATATGTACCGTGGCGGGCTTGACCGCTTCAAGAAGGCTCAGGCCTTGGAGCCATTCTCCGTTCAATCCGGTTCGGCGGCCAAGAATGTACCTGCAGCGGCGAGAACAGCTAAAGGACCGCCGGCTCCATTGACACTGCCACAGAATTCACATGTTGGAACCAGCCAGAGTCACCTGAGTCCGCAAGGTGCCAGTTTGAGGGTGGCCGGGCAAGAGACCGGGGCGCCGGGGCATGCTGGGACCCAGGTCGGTGGTGGGCAATCAGCGTGGCAGCCACCTGACTGGGCGATAGAGCCGCGCCCTGGGGTTTACTATCTTGAGGTGTTGAAGGATGGGGATGTCATTGATCGGATCAATCTGGAGAAGAAGAGGCATATATTTGGGAGGCAGGTACCTGCATGTGATTTCGTGTTGGACCATCAGTCTGTATCGCGGCAGCATGCTGCTGTTGTTCCACACAGAAATGGAAGGTTAGACTAAAAATAATGCTAATGTTAACACAGTTGTGATTCCACTTGTTGATTTTGTCTTTGATGGTAGTTTTTTTAGCCGCTGTTTGTTACTGAATGCTACGCATGCTAGCAGTGGAATTGAGCTTAATAATTCATAAGCAACAACCTATATGAAACAATGTGGTTCAACAACACCATTCATATTATCAATAAAAAAATCAATCCCTTGGATGCACCTAAATTTCAAGTTTAGTTTCAGAACAGTTGCCTATGTCATGTTGCAATGTGTTTTCTTTTTGAAGAACCTTAAGGCATGCCTTGCTCAGAATTTGTCGGCCAGAAAAACCACTGGGCCTCAAATGGAAAACATTTCTACTTTTATTGACACTGCTGCTTTGGTGCATCACTGACATTTTTTCCATTCTTTTTGTATTTCAGCATATATGTTATTGATTTAGGATCAGTTCATGGCACATTTGTTGCAAATGAGAGACTAACTAAAGACAACCCTGTTGAACTTGAAGTTGGTCAGTCACTTCGCTTTGCTGCATCAACCAGAACCTATATCCTACGAAAGAATAGCGCTGCCTTTTTCCCAACTCATAGTCTTCCATCAGATGTCAGTCTGCCATCTCCACCAGACCCCAATGATGAAGATGCTGTGGTCGCATACAACACAATACTTAACCGCTATGGTATTAGTAAATCAGACTTATCCAGATCAAAAGATTCTTCGGGAGATGCCTCTGGTGCAAATGATGATAACGAGCCAGCTGGAAGGCCCTTGAAGAGAAGTAAAAAACTAAGAGTATCATTTAGAGATCAAGTTGGAGGAGAACTTATTCAAGTGGTTGGGATTTCAGATGGCGCAGATGTTGAAACTGAACCAGGTCCAGTAGGGGTGAAGGAAGGCAGTCTTGTTGGGAAATATGAATCCCTTGTACAGGTTACTGTCATTCCAAAAGGAAAGGAGCAACCTTCACCAAAGGAAAGTGCATCCCCCAGTGGGGTAACAGATAAGCTAAAACAGGTTCTTACCAAAGTTAAAAGCACAGCAAAAGGTGGAATTTATGATGATCTTTATGGGGATACTGTTCCACAACTATTGGGCCCATCTTGGGCATACAGGTCGGATGACCAGGCAGAAAAAGTCAAAGCTGCTGATGAAAAGAAGTCTAGTGGGAATATGGATACAAATTCAGCTGATGATAATGATGACTTGTTTGGTGACTTGTGACTGTTGGCGTTTTCAATTAGTACAGAGAAATGGATCTCCTGAAAATGCTTAAGAGCAGAAGTATTTTGTTCTGTCGGGGGTATTTTGCTTTGTTCTGCATGATTGTATCCTGCTGCAAATTAAGGTAATCTCTTTTGCCTAATGTTTAGGGCATGCATTTTTATGACGGTGTTCACAGTGATTGGTGAGTTTAATTGCTTTCTTCACCATGTCCTCTTGTGGTGATTTTTTCCCTTACCCAGTCTAGCTTTCCAAAATTTATGAATTATATTTCATATTTTAATCGTTTGCTTTTTCAAATGTTCTGAACTTTCCTGTGGTAAAATTCTAACTGTACATCATCTGTGATGTTTTGTGATTCAATCGCTTGGTAATGGAAGTAAAAAAAAAAAAACTATGTGAGCTTAGCGGCCTGAAATGTTGAATTAAGGTTTTGTTGTTCTGTCCAATCAGATTTGGAAAATTATTTTATATGTGAGTATTCATGTGGCATGGTATGGTATTGTAACTTGGGTCTATCATTCACTTGTATAACCACCAATAGCATCCACTATGTCTAGCTAGTGGTTTTATAGATAGCAATTACGTGTATTCTGGGCTTCCTTTAGCTATTTCTATCATAGTACATATATAATCTGTTAATATGCCCTTGTAAACATGGAGGTATTGCCATCCTTTTCATTAATTGAAGAATGAATATAGAAGTATGTACTATGTAGTCCACTCCCCTTAATTCCTTAAAGACACATGGTCACTCACTTCAATTCATCACCAATATACCATATCCATTTTTTGTTGAATGGGCTTTATTGATGTAAGTTAGTAGGTTGCAGGCTAGTTAATATGCAGATAAATCATTCATAGTATTGTAACATCCAGTCCTTGTGCACTATTACTATTCAAACTGCAGTTTATTGCTAGGTGCAGTCATAGTAGACGTTATTTGCAAGCAGCTCCAGGTAATGATATGAAAAATGACTTCAACTGTTATGTGACATGAAGCCCATCAGGGCTCATCATGTAGCACATGGCTTTTGAAACACTTTAGTTAGTTGATACTTAGTGGATCAATTGTTTTGTTATAAGATAAGTAGTTTTTATTAGAGCGCAACATATTTTTGGATGGTTTAATTTGACGTATCTCTAGATCTAATCTGTTAGCAGTTCTTTATAAATAGATAAATAAGGAGGTGTTATATTTTCCAAGCAAGCATGTATAATGAATTAGTCTTTTTGTTTTCTCTCCTAAAAGTTCATCGCCAACTCTATGTTTTCATCTCTCCTAAGATCCATCCCCTTTTAAGTTATCATCCAGACTTCTGCACAATATTTATCCTATTGTGAACTAAGGTTCATTATACCTGTTCTAAGAAGCATCCCTGGGGTCTGTTGTTGGGAGGGGGAGCCTAACGTAAATTACCGATAAAATGTTAAGAAACGATTAAGTTCATTATGGGTTGCAGAAGTGAAGATTTTCATTGTCATGAAATCATGTAGGTGAGGAAAGATTCCCTTTGTCTGGTGGTGGGGTGGGAGCGTAACCTAGAGTTTAGTTGAATGTTAAAAATGGTTGTCGATGACCGTGATTGTCTGCATTAAAATTCAAGAGCTTAACTGAATTGTTCAATCATGTTTATCAGTCCATGCAAATTATGTAGCTAGCTAAGCTAGGAGTGCATTATCTGATTTTATGTTTACTTGGACATGGTAAATTTGAAACTACTATAAACATGATCATTTCAATTATTGATACGAACAAACATTTCAATAATTGATTTGAATGATGAGTCATGACAGATGAATGGCTGATAAAATCGTTCTGGTTTTGAGACACTTGTAACGCAAAAAACCAGGTATTACAATTTGTTTCAAGGAACCCTAGGTTTTGGGCCAAAATGTTTCAAGAAAGTTTATGTCAAATACTCATATTGTTAGTATGTGTTCACATTAGTAGGCTCAAAATACATCACTCACATGCAATTTATCTTCCTCCTTACTCTTGCATTGCACGATTGAAAAAGCACAACAACCTGACTAGTAATGACACATTAACCAGTTATACATGTAAACAATCATATTACCAATAACTGATGCTCGTTAAAATGATGCTAACATGTATATATACTCAGGAATATCTCTTTTTTTTGCAATTATTATGCATAACTATATTAGGAAAACCAATGATACAAGCTTAAACATAAGGTGTCCTGAAACATTTCGCCCCAAAATCTAGGGTTCTTTGAAACAAATCGTAGTACCTGGGGTTGTGTTATGGGTGCCCCAAAACCTGGGGTTTTGTGAAATTTACTCGAAGGAATATGCTCCCTTGGGTAAGAACAGATGCTATGTATAAACACTAGTTTGATTTTTAAACTGTTTTGATACGTGCTTTGCCTTACGATGTTATGTACCAGAATGAGTGTATGCAACTATGCAGGTACAAAGAATGAACAAGGCATTTCAAGTACCATAAAACCCATCTCACAATCACGTGTTCCAAAGAAGGCCCTAATTATTATTATTGTTGAACCAAATTTAACCCCATGGTTATTTCACAAGAAGGGTTAGCCTAGGTGGAGATGCTGTGGCTATTCTTAATTTTCTTTTTCCAGATGATGAGTGAGCGAGCAAATATTAAAGTTTTACCCCTCAATCGACTGTCACTAGCATCCACCAATTGACACCGTTGTTATCTCATGTAACATTGTGATCTTGTTCTATCATGCAAGAGAACAAGATCATTGATCTTTCACATTCACCCTCCTGATATTCAGTGGCTGCATAGTGTTTTCCTTGTCTCCGCTCACGAAGACAATACCCCCTTAGAACAATATACTATCATTAGTTCTGTAGATGGTTTTGCAACCATGCAATAAATAAAGCCATAAAATTTATGTAAGCCAACACCTCATTCAAAACAATGCACAAGCTAATTCTCCCTAGCAGCTATGCAGAGTTGAGTAGCAGCACTCACTAATCACGACTGCATGGTAGATGGTGGGTGTGTTTGACAGCTGCATGTTCAGCTCGGCTCATTAAATGTAGAATTACTTCGAGGTGTGTGGACAAACTCACCAAGACTACATTGATGATATTACTTTACTTCTGTTCGCAAAGTTAAATTTAGTGCTCATAAAAAAAAGAAATTAGGTCAATATTTCTAATGGATCTGAGAGATTGTTGAACTAGAGCCACCTGTGGCTCAGCTAAAATGGAGATGAAGTTATTGTTATACAGCTTAGGAAGTAGAAGAGAACTGCAGGTTGCAGGGTAAGCAAGAAGGGTCAGAGATATTATCAGATTCAGCAAAGTTAGAAAGACCCTGCTGTGTGCCTCCTTGTCTCAAACCTCAGGAACTGGTGAAACCACCAGAAAATAGCTCTGCTAGTATTGTAAGAAGGCACCATTCCTCCACTACCACGCACTGTTGTGCCGATAACTACTGCTAGTCAACTCTGCCCAGCTGCTAGGGAGAATTAGCTTGTGTATTGTTTTGAATGAGGTGCTGGCTTACATAAATTTTATGGCTTTTATTGCATGGTTGCAAAACCATCTACAGAACTAATGATAGTATATTGTTCTAAGGGGGTACTGTCTCAATTCTTGAAAGTCTAGGCCTTAAATGTCCCTTTTTGTGTACCGTGTGATAGGTTAAGAAGTTATATTTGGGGAATTGAGTTCTATTCCAAATGAAATGCTATGCTGAAATCTTTGATATGCATTGATAATCTGAACATAGTATAATAAAGAGAGGTTGTTTGTAACATGTACAAACTACCATTACTTTGCTCACGTCCTGCATCATGGTACCATGTTACTCTGTTCTGGATTGTTGCTATGAGCCAACAAGAGATGCCACCTAGGAATATAATAAAGCAATACGGAGCTTCAAAATGCAATTCGTTTTTTTCATCTTAACACTTGTACAGTATGCCTGCTAATTTTTCTTGGTGACCTTTGTAATTGTCAAGTTGAACTGTGTTCTTGTGCTTTTGGATTAAGATGTCTCCTTCCTGTATCAATTTTGGGGTGGAATCCAGTAATAAACAATTTTTTAACTGTAACTTATGCATCTTTGTCAACGTTCACTTCCCATCAACGTGGAGCAGTTGATGTGAATTTTATTTTATTAAACTGCACCTAGAAAATTATTTGCAATTTTGTACTTCTCATTATTTAATTATGCCCCAATACCCTCGCTAGCACTATCCCCGGAGACTTGACCATTCATTTGGATACATCTCTAAAGATATTTTCTGAATCCTCTGCAGGTATCAAGCGCCGGAGGGTGACTCAAAGAACAGAAGCGAAAATTGTCACGTCAGATGAACTATGTAATACTTTATACATCTTTTTGTCAGAACACGCTGTGTGATGGATTTCCATGTTTGTTGGTAAATTGATATCCAATCAAATTGGGATTTGCCGCATTGGATTCTCAACGGTTACCATGAGGATAAGTTTAAACGTTAACTATATGGCCAGGTAAAATTTAGGCAGGTCCAAATTTGTTATCATCTATTCATCAGGTGAATAGCTTCTCCGTGCAGTTATGGACATGAAACACTGTGGTACTAAAAGATTTGCAGCATCAGGATGTTGATCAGCATATGGAAAGCGTATACGGGATGGCCAGCACCCAGCAGTAACATTTTGCAAGGGAAAAGTCAGCTCTTCAACTCTGAGTATTCACTGGGCTTACTGATTTGTGCTGCTTTTCCCCCCATCTCGTCCGGGGGCATTTATATTATTTATCACTCCACAGATATGGCGTTTAACAATTTGCTACTCATCCCTATGTTATCTAGACTAATATAAAAAGCACGAAGTTGTTTAGTGTTATTAACACCGCGATTGCAATTAGCGCCGGATTAATCCTGCGGTTGCAATTAGCACCGGATTAACACTGCGTCTCGCTCCGGAAAAAGAAACTGCACGCCAAATCTAGACTAATATAAAAAGCACGAGTTGTTTAGTGTAATTAACACCGCGATTGCAATTAGCGCCGGATTAATCCTGCGGTTGCAATTAGCACCGGATTAACACTGCGTCTCGCTCCGGAAAAAGAAACTGCACGCCAAAAAGAACGAAAAAAAGAACGCACGCCAAAGAGGATTATCTCCGCCGCCCGCCACACCAGCCACGCCGCCCGCCTCACCCGCCGCCCGCGTGACTTCCCACCTCGCCTCACCCGACCATGCCGGCCCTCGCCGCCGCCGCCGACCATGAGCCTCACCCGCCGCCCGCGTGACTTCCCACCTTGCCTCACCCGACCATGCCGGGCCTCGCCGCCGCCGACCATGAGCGAACTCCACGAGCAGCGCCAGCGACCGACCCACGCTGCCCGGATCGGAGGCGAAGGACAACAGCCCGGGGCCGCCTTCATCGACGCCGTGCGCGCCCAGTCGATCCACGGGAGCGCGGCCGCGGCCGCGGAGGCGGCGGGGGAGCGGTAGGCGATGACGTGGACGCGGCTCCTCGTGCTACCGGCGTCGATGACGACGCCATACCCGTGGGGACGACGACGCGGCGAGCGGGACAGGAGGAGGAGGAGGAGGAGCGCGAGGGCGGACGCGGCGGCGAGGAGGCGGCGGCCGCGGCCACGGAGGGAGCCTATCATGGAGGAAATGGTCTGAGGAGGAGGAGGAGCTAGGGTTGTCGCAGCCTCTTCAATGGTGATCTCCTGCAGGAGGCGAACGGGAGCAAGTATCAGCAGCAGAAGCTGGGTGATGTGCCCTCGTCGCAGCCGCATCATCTGAATGTGAGTGACTCCACAAGAACGAGAACCCTGAATTGAATCTGACATTTACCATTGTTCTTGCATCATTCATCCAGTGGTAACGTTTTACATGTCCACCTATACATTTATCGATAAATTTTCCCCTAAAAATTTGACAGATATAATTATAGTACAATCATAGTGTAATTACACTGTAACTTGCACGTAACTATAGTATAACTTGTATATAAGTTTCATGTAATTTTGAATCTTTAGATCTATTACAAGATTTGTTTTGGTGAGGAATAAAAATAAAATCACAGCACACATATATGTGTAAGAATTTGTTCCCACAACCTCTATTTTACCCCATGATTTCAATGGTATCGGCTTCAACTTCCTTGAGTAATTGCAACCCTTTGAGCACTGCCTCATACTCAGCTTGATTATTAGTCACATACGGTTTAATAGTATAAGCAAACTCGAAACATGCCCCCCTAGGGGAAATTATAACTAGGCATGATTATTAGTCACATACGGTTTAATAGTATAAGCAAACTCGAAACATGCCCCCCTAGGGGAAATTATAACTAGGCAGATACCACAACCATGAGTACACACCGATCCATCAAAGAATAAAGTCCATGGCACTATTTCAACCGAGCCGATTGAATCATCACGATGTTCCACAATAAAATCAGCTATAGCTTGTCCCTTAATCGCCTTCGGTGACTCATACCGAAGATCAAACTCGGTTAAGGAAAATATCCACTTTCCAACCCTTCCTTTCAATATTGGAGCCGATAGCATGTACTTGACAACATCAGCCTTACATACAACAATACACTCGTTGGACAGTAGATAATGCCTCAGCCTTGTACATGAAAAATACAAACACAAGCATAACTTCTCCACAGGGGAATATCTAGTTTTAGCATCCAAGAGCCGACGACTGAGATAGAATACAACTCGTTCCTTCCCTTCCAACTCCTGAATCAAGACCGAGCCGATTGACTTCTCACCGGCCGACAAATATAACCTAAACGGTATTCCTTTCTGTGGAAGAATCAAAACAGGAGGACAACTAAGATATTCCTTAATATTATCCAAAGCCTTTTGCTGCTCTGCCTCCCAAGTAAACTGCTGATCGGCTTTCAATCTCAACAATGGTGCAAAAGGTTCTAACCTTCCAGACAAATTAGAAATAATCCTTCTAACAAAATTTATCTTGCCGATCATCTCTTGTAATTCTGTCTTGTTCTCCGGAGGCTGAATCTTCTTTATCGCATTAACACTCCTTTGAGTTACCTCGATCCCCCTCTCATGAACAAGAAATCCCAAAAACTGGCCAGCCGATACACCAAAAGCACACTTTGTCGGATTCATCTTCAGGCCATATTTTCTGGTTCTCTCGAAAACCTTCCTCAAATCAACTATATGGTCCTTTATCTCTTTAGACTTAACAACCACATCATCAATATAGACTTCAACCAACCAGCCGATTAGATCGTGATATATATAATTCATGGCTCTTTGATATGTAGCTCCAGCACTCTTCAAGCCGAAAGTCATGACAACCCATTCAAATAAACCGATTGCACCAGGACACCTAAAAGCTGTCTTGTGAATGTCTTCTTCGGCCATAAAAATTTGATTGTATCCTGCGTTTCCGTCCATAAAACTCAAAATCTTAAGTCCCGAAGAAGCATCAACTAGTTGATCGGCTACTGGTATTGGGTATTCATCTTTCAGGGTGGCCTTATTCAAATTTCGGAAATCAATGCATACCCTGACCTTGCTGTTTTTCTTGATAACAGGAACTATACTAGAAACACACTCAGCATATCGGCAAGGACGAATAAAACCAGCATCATATAATCTTTTAATCTCAGCCTTGACCGGTTCAAGCATGTCGGCCTTGCATCTCCTCGGAGGTTGTTGATGTGGCCTAACCCCTGGTTTGATAGGTAGCCGATGTTCAACAATCAATCGGCTGAGTCCAGGCATCTCGTAATACTCCCAAGCGAAGCAATCTCTAAACTCTTTTAAGAGCTCTATCAGCTTGGTTCTAAACTCTGGAGATAAGTTCCTACTAATAAATGTCGGCCTTGGCCGATCGCCTGGACCTATGTCCACTTCTTCCAAATCATCGGCCGACATGAAACCTTGACCTTGCTTGTCATCGAGATCATCTACCATGTCCGTAGTGTAGACACTTGAACCCTCCACGACGCCCTCAAAATAATAGATTGGGTTCTCCATCTTCAATTGGCTGTATATCAGAATTGGACACTTTTAGAAAATCTCCATCCCAGACTTTTCCATATAAACAATCAAGGCCATCCATCTCCCAAAGAGCTAAATCAGCACTGGCAACATTAACTGACCTGTCGACTGGCACAATCTCTATTTTGTCGCCTTGCCACTGAATCAAACATTGATACATAGTTGAAGGAATGCAACAATTGGCGTGAATCCAATCCCTTCCAAGCAATAAGCTGTAAGAACCTTTCCCATCGATGACAAAAAACGTGGTAGGAACAGTCTTACTGCCGACTGTCAGCTCCACATTTAGAACACCTTTGGTTTCTGATGGATTGCCACCAAAATCTTTGAGCACCATGTTTGTCTTGATGAGATCCTCGATATTTCTACCCAACTTCCTGAACGTAGCATAGGGCATCAAATTTACCGCGGCCCCACCATCAACCATCATTTTAGACATCGGCTTCCCATTGACGTAGCCGTTTATATGCAATGGTTTAAGATGCCGATTCTCTGTCCCCTCGGGTTTCTCGATCACTGCCTGTTCTGGTGACAGAACCAACTTAGCCGATTCCTCTTCCACCTCATCGACATCGGCTTGGTCGATCCCGAATTCGGCTGGCAGGGTAAAGACCATGTTAACCGGTGCCGTCACAACACTCTTCCCTTTTGCCAACCTCTTTGCCTCATCGGCTGCAATATCATCGGCTACAGGAACCTGATTCTTAACATGCCACTCCTGCCTTGGCTTTGCTTTCTTCAGCCGATGATTAATTTTTTGTTCAACCTCCTGAAGGTGCTCCCTATTCCTTAATCTCTGAACCCTTCTCTTCTGATTCTTCGTGAAAATACCATAAGGACACCATTGATTCTTCCTGATTACATCGTCCTCTTGGCCATGATCTTGATTTACTGGGCCCAATCTTTAATGAACAGAAACTGTTGTCTGCCTTAACCGATTGCCCCTATTATATGATCGGCTTGAGTTCTTGACGATATCACTGCACCCAGGGCAGTTTTCAATAGATGGCAACCTCATACCTTCATTCCAGCAGAATCTAAAGAACTCACAACCCCAATGAGGATCAAAACCATCATCGTATTTCTCATGATGCTTCTTCTGCTGCTTGTCATACTTCTTCTGATATTTGTTGATAATCTTAGCCGAATTCACCCGAAAACCCCTTGCACGGGCCCTATCGGCTGTTTGGCCAGCTGTATGCACCATATAAACAGGAAAAGGATTACCATCGACATTCATCGGCTTTTTGGAATCATCAAACCTAATATTGCCTCCCTCAATGGCCACTTGAATCTGCTGTCTAAAAACCTTGCAATCGTTAGTAGAATGGGACCCAGAATTATGCCATTTGCAATACCTCTTTTTGCCTAATTCCTTAGCCGATGGGATTGTATGACCAGCAGGAAGTTGAATTTGCTTCTCTCGGAGTAGCAAATCAAAGATCTTGTCAGCTTTAGTAATATCAAAGTCATACTTCTCCTCTTTTCCAGAACTTTTTACCCATTGGCATGGTATGACCTTTTTACTCCTCACCCACTCGGCTACAGCTATTTCAGAATCGTCCTCGTCATCATCCAACCCATACATGTACGGACAAACATGATTAACCTTCTTAGAGTTTTTCCTAACTTCCGCGGACCTATGCTCATGCAAGGTTACTTTCTGTATCAGATGTGACAAGCTATCAAAGTCCTCAGACGAGAATTTCTCCCTAATCGGAGCAATCATACCCTGAAAAGCCAGATCGACTAACTGGGCATCAGTTAAACTCAAGCTAAAGCATTTGTTCCTCATCTCCCTGAATCTCTGAATATACTCATGCACAGGTTCATCATACCGCCGCATAATCGCTGTCAATTCGGATAATTTCATCTCATGAACCCCACTGTAGAAATAGCTGTGGAATTGCTTCTCCAAATCGGCCCAGCTATTGATCGACCCATACGGCAAAGAGGAAAACCAAGTAAAAGCCGATCCAAACAAAGATAACCGGAATAACCTAACCTTTAGAGCGTCTACAGCCGATGCTTCACCACACTGAGCTAAGAAACGGCTAATGTGCTCATAAGTTGACACACCATCTTGTCCCAAAAATTTGGAGAAGTCTGGAACTTTGAACCGATTGGGAAGAGGAACTCTCTCAAACCACTCAGGGTAAGGCTGCCAATACAAGCTTCCAGTCTCTTTTGGTTTAAGCCCAAACTGTTCCCTCATTACGTCAGCAATCACATCGGCCCACGGTCGTTGCTGAGCTACCCCTTGTGACTGTTGCTGCATGGGCTCGAACTGACCATATTGAGGCGCCAACTGAGGTTGAGCCAATCCACCTGGCTGATATTGAGCTTGTGGGGAAGGAGGCTGATCTTGGTAATTCAAGTTACCCCCTTGGTAATTATGAAGGTTCGGCTGGATATTACGTACCAAATGCTCAGGAACAACTTGAGGTATTACTGTGCCATCCGGCTATACGTGGTGAACCAAGTGTTCTAGGACAACTTGATTTAAAAAATGTTGTACAGGCTGACCACCAGGCGTTGCCAACCCGGCCGATGCACCTATTGAACCTTGGTGCTGGATCGACTGAATGATTTGCTGTCTTAACAGCGTCTGCTGAATCGGCTGCAAAGGCTGTTGCCTTGGTGGTGTTTGCTGAACTGGTTGCATGACCTGTTGCTGAATTGGTTGCACAACCTGCTGAATTGGGGGTGTCTGCTGAATCGACTGCTGCTGTATTGGATCAACAATAGATTGAGGCGGCAGAAACGTGGCAGCAACCTGATCTTA